AGCTTCATGTTCAATTAAATTAAAAATATGTTCACATACAATGTCCGGGTCATATTGAGGTACTATGACACTAGATATTTTATGTTCAATTTTATTTTTAAAACGTGCCAAATTCTTTTGTGTTATTTGTCTGCATGTAATTGTTTGAGTCCCTTTGGATCCCTTAGTTTCAATTATAACTTTTTGTCCATAATGATCAGATCCAAGACAGTCGAAATTCATTTTCACCTTTACTTCACAATTACAAAAAACATTATCTATACAAGTGGCAGAATTTCCTGCGACCCTAGTGGGTTCTAAAAAAAGATTGTGCAAATTAAATGATTTAAATAAGTTAATCAATCTTAAGCTTATTGAGCATTCCGATAATAAATCAACATTAAAATCGCCACATACAAATAATGTTTTATTCCTCCGTGCGACTCGTCTCAATGCTTCCTCCATAGCCAGTTCAAAAGAATCAAAACAAGCCGATGGCGGACGATAAACGCAAATTATTATACAAGTAACTAATTCTACGCAAGATAGTTCAATTGTTTGCTCAATAGAAATATTTACAATGTCTTGACGGTTTTTATATTCTACATCATTTTTTAAAATAATAATTGACCCGCCATGAATGGCATTGTTCCTAGCAAAAAAACTAGCTATATTATAATGTTCAAAAGGACAAATTATTTCATATTGTTTAAGCCAATGTTCTGTCAGACATAACACCCGTACATTGTTAGATTCTAAGAAAAGACTTAATTCTAATTCTTTGCTGGAGAAGCCACGAATATTTTGATGAATAATGACCATATCCTGTGGCTTAACCAATGTCGTAGATGTTAGTTTAAATTAACACATGTCACATTATTAGTATTATTACTAATATTACTAATTAAATCCGTTATACTACTTATAATGGGATCATAAATGTTATACGCTAGTAAACTAGCAATAGTCATTTTTTGTTTTTTAGGAAGATAAAAATTACCTCCCGTCATATAATAATTTGTAACAAATTTGTTACTTTCAAAATAAAATATATCATTACAATGATATGTCATCGAATAAATTAAATTATTTATACTATAAATGAACTTATTCTGTTCATTAGTCAGGGATTGAGAGTAGGGAAATGCGCATAATAATATTTTACCTATACCAAGCTCCACTATATTATATAATGATTTTATTAAATTAACTATATCAGATTTACGCATATGCAAACAATTCCCTAACGCTATTACTAGGGTCGTGTGAATATCATATTTTTCATTTACTATATTTCTTATAATCTTATATATACCTTATATTATGAATAACAGAATATTTTATTAATTATTATTATTATTAATATTTATGAATAACAGAATATTTTGAAGCATAAAAATAGAACAGAATTGTGTTTCTATATTATCCAGGATCCTTAATAGTTTAACCAATTCACTAAGATATTAATGAAAAGATGAGTTATCTTTATTTTCTCTTGGCGTCCTAATAGCTTAGTTAAGCTATTAGGACGCCAAGAGAAAATAAAGATAACTCATCTTTTACTAGTAAGTTTACTAAGTTTAGAATAACATAAAAATAGAGTAAAGAGGATTGCCAGTAATGTGGATTGATAATCTTATTGCTAGGAATGTTCCATGTCAGGTTGGCTCCAACGCGGTTCCTCCTGAAAACCATCGTGACAAATTCACAAAGAATTTATATTTATAATAATAATAATAATAATCTCAGGACAATTCACACAGCGCCATCTAGACCCAAGTTAAGCTAGCTAAAGCTTGTGTTATGAGTACTAGATAACTGATACATATACATAGATATTTCTTTTTTTTTGTAAATACATACATATTATACATAGAAAACACCCAGACCGATACAAACAATCATACTCATGGATATAAATGTTTGTGCCGTGCGAGGAATCGAACCCGCGACCATCGGTCGTAAAGCGGGGTGCTTGACCGCTAGACCACCGAGGTCGTCAAATTTATATTTAATTTTATAATATTTAGCTAACTGACCTGACCTCATTGCTCATTGTATCATCATCCCCGTCAGTGTAAATTGTTAGCGCTCGCGGGTGCACCATTCCCAATTTCCAATAACAAAAAATTCAATTCCAATAATAAAAATCTCAGGATAATTCACACAGTGCCATCTAGACCCAAGTTAAGCTAGCTAAAGCTTGTGTAATGGGTACAAGATAACTGATACAAATATATAGTTTTTGTTTCGTAAATACATACATATAATACATAGAAAACAACCAGACCGATACAAACAATCATAATCATGAATACAAATGTTTGTGCCGTACGAGGAATCGAACCCGCGACCATCGAAAGTAAGGCGGTATGCTAAACCGCTAGACAAAAACATAAACATAAATACCATAACAATTCAAGAACACGATTCTCAATAAAAACACGACGTTACCCACAATTATCACGCCGGCCGGACGGTTTGGTACATCCTTTTATTCTGCGCAAATAAAAACCCATCAGTGAATAATTGTTATGCAAAATATAAGGACAGAATTACGGTAATAAGAGAAAATAATTTCACCAATTAAGAGTTGGTTCCTTTGAAAGATATGCGTTAATTTATGACAACGAACGAGCGAGCCGGAAACAGAGGTGGGGCCGGGCCGATGCGAAACGCCGAAGCGCGTCGTGTGGCAAGTTGAAACACCACAAGCGATTCAAATTATTCTCTTTAGGTTCAGTAGTGCGTAATGGGATTTAATTCGCGTTTATTTCCTTTACAATAAAGTACCAGGGCGACCGAGCTTCGTTGTACGTGTTACTAATCATATTAAATTGTCCGATGCCAATTAATAATCATCGCCAATAGAATTACTAGATTAATTTTTCTTATCAACAGAAATGATTCAAATTATTCTCTTTAGGTTCAGTAGTGCGTAATGGGATTTAATTCGCGTTTATTTCCTTTACAATAAAGTACCAGGGCGACCGAGCTTCGTTGTACGTGTTACTAATCATATTAAATTGTCCGATGCGAATTAATAATCATCGCCAATAGAATTACTAGATTAAATTTTCTCATTAATACTAAAATCTACTCTTACAGAATTTTCTCTCATTTTTTCCACGACAACACGCGTTGTATGGCCTATTGGATCAACAGAAATGATTCAAATTATTCTCTTTAGGTTCAGTAGTGCGTAATGGGATTTAATTCGCATTTTTTTCCTTTACAATAAAGTACCAGGGCGACCGAGCTTCGTTGTACGTGTTACTAATCATATTAAATTGTCCGATGCCAATTAATAATCATCGCCAATAGAATTACTAGATTAAATTTTCTCATTAATACTAAAATCTACTCTTACAGAATTTTCTCTCATTTTTTCCACGACAACACGCATTGTATGGCCTATTGGATCAACAGAAATGATTCAAATTATTCTCTTTAGGTTCAGTAGTGCGTAATGGGATTTAATTCGCATTTTTTTCCTTTACAATAAAGTACCAGGGCGACCGAGCTTCGTTGTACGTGTTACTAATCATATTAAATTGTCCGATGCCAATTAATAATCATCGCCAATAGAATTACTAGATTAAATTTTCTCATTAATACTAAAATCTACTCTTACAGAATTTTCTCTCATTTTTTCCACGACAACACGCATTGTATGGCCTATTGGATCAACAGAAATGATTCAAATTATTCTCTTTAGGTTCAGTAGTGCGTAATGGGATTTAATTCGCATTTTTTTCCTTTATAATAAAGTACCAGGGCGACCGAGCTTCGTTGTACGTGTTACTAATCATATTAAATTGTCCGATGCCGAAAGAGAAAATTTTACTAAAAATGAACGTAAAACGAAGCTCGGTCGCCTTGGTACTTTATTGTAAAGGAAAAAAATGCGAATTAAGCATTTTTTTCCTTCACAACAAAGTACCAAGGCGACCGAGCTTCGTTTTACGTTCATTTTTAGTAAAATTTTCTCTCAGAGAGTACTCTCTTATTTTTTTTCCATGCCAAAATGCGTCGCGTGGCAAGTTGAAGCACCACAAGCGATTCAAATTATTCTCTTTCGGTTCCGTAGTGCGTGATGCGATTTAATTCACGTTTATTTCATTAACAATAAAATGCCAGGACGACCGAGCTTCGTTGTACAGTAATTTTTGGTAAAATTTTCTATCATTTCTTTCCACGATAAAACGCGTCGTGTGGAAAGTTGAAACACCACAAGCGATTGAAATTATTCTCTTTCGGTTCCGTAGTGCGTGATGCGATTTAATTCACGTTTATTTCATTAACAATAAAATGCCAGGACGACCGAGCTTCGTTGTACAGTAATTTTTGGTAAAATTTTCTATCATTTCTTTCCACGATAAAACGCGTCGTGTGGAAAGTTGAAACACCACAAGCGATTGAAATTATTCTCTTTCGGTTCCGTAGTGCGTGATGCGATTTAATTCACGTATATTTCATTAACAATAAAGTGCCAGGGCGACCGAGCTTCGTTCTACGTTAATTGTATGGTAACATCTTCTCCAAGACAGTTTTTTCTTATTTTTTTCAACGCTAAAATTTGATTGGAGAAAATGAAGTGGTTACAATGATGCTTTATATTTTGAAGTTGGGTATCTCCTCTTTTGCTGTAAGCATGCCAAGTTATTTATGAATAATATACTAATACTGTCCTCAATATTCGACTACGAATATGACGACCTCGGTGGTCTAGCGGTCAAGCACACCGCTTTACGACCGATGGTCGCGGGTTCGATTCCTCGCACGGCACAAACATTTGTATTCATGAGTATGATTGTTTGTATCGGTCTGGGTATTTTCTATGTATAATATGTATGTATTTACGAAAAAAAAAATTATCTATGTATTTGTATCAGTTGTCTAGGACCCATAACACAAGCTTTAGCTAGCTTAACTTGGGTCTAGATGGCGCTGTGTGAATTGTCCTGAGATTATTATTATTATATTCGGCTATTTGATGTTAATATTTGACTATGACGTACTTCCCCAGAACTGTAAGCCATATACGATTATTTTTTATTGTGGGTTTTGGGCTATAGTCAGGTGCTAAGACCTGTAGCACTGCGACCTGCACAGATCTAATGTGAGCACATTAGATCTGTGCCTTTTTTCAAAGTTCGCTACCTAGATCCGAGGACAAGGGACAAGTATCGAAAGGTATCCTTTGGAGCGATGATTTGTATCTCCTCAGTATAGAGTGTATACTTTCCAAAGGAGAAATTTCGTTTATGCACTAGTGGGTTACAACCACATAGAATGTGTTCGGTTTCCACTTCAGCTTTTCAAAATCTGCAGATTGTTATTGAGCACTAACCTAAATTACACAATAACACAAAAAATCTCAAATATTTTAGAAGTCTGTTCATAAATCCAAAATTACATACAGCAGTAGTCTTCGCACAAACGAGTTGCAAAGAATCCTCTGTTACGTATAATAATAATAATAAAGCCTTTTATTTCCATAACCATCCAGAAGTTTGTACAAATAGTAAAAAAAAAAATATAAAAAATAAATTGTTAGTAATTTTTTTTTTTTTTGATCTCTTTTTGTTAGTATCATAGTATTACAATTATAATTATATTATTTGTGGATATGGACCCCTCTTTGGGTGAAGGCCTCCTCCATCTTTTTCCAATATTCTCTGGTCTCGTTTTTTCCTATAGCTAACCAGTCTTTTCCTATATAGTCTACAATATCATCAGCCCACCGTCTTATTGGTCTTCCAACTTTCCTATTTCCCTTTGGTCCTTTCCATTTTGTAGCTTTAATAGTCCATCTACCATCTGTAACACGTGAGATGTGACCTGCCCATTGCCATTTGAGTTGCAGGGCATGGTTGACTGCGTCGGTTATTTTCGTTTGCAGTCTAATTTTTTCACTTCTTACTTTATGTTTCTTTCTTATTCCCAGTAAACATCTCTCCATTGCTCTTTGTGTTGTTAAAATTTTTTGTGATGTTCTTTTTGTAAACGTCCATGTTTGGCTGGCATATACTAAACAGGGCAAAAGGCATGTATCAAAAACTAATTTCTTCATGTATATGGGGTAGTTACCTTTGAAAATTTCTTTAAGTGACCAAAATTTTTTCCATGTTATATTACATCTCCTTCCTATTTCTTCCTCGTTATTTAGTTTGTTAAATGAGACTTGTTTGCCTAAATATATATACTGGTCTACATATTCAATTTTATGTTCTTTTCCTTTGATAGGTATTTCTAGGCTGTTAGTCATTATTTTAGTTTTCTTCGAATTTGTTTCGAGACCTATACGGGAACTTTCTTGATCAAGCATATCTAGCATGGTCTGCAACTCTTTCGGTGTCTGTTACGTATATACAAAGTAAAATAAGAGAAAAAAAGGACCCAAATGACGCCTTGGCCAAAGGACGCCTGTTAGCTCCGTGCCGAATGATTGTCATTGAAGACGGAGGAGCAACAGGAAATGAGGAGGACAACTTGGTCCAATTTGCGGGTCGGGAGGAAAGTTTCGCCCGCGGAAATTAACAGACCGACGCGACGACGGCGCGATGTCCGGACGTTTTTAATCTATCTCTTTGTAATTAAGAGTTCTCGCAGTTTATTTGCTGTCTTGTTTGTCTATGGTAGTGTTTAATGATGATATGATGATATAAATGTAAAGTAATAATAAAATTATTTAAAAGAGCAACACGCAAGTTTCTTGCTCGTTCTTCTTGTGATGAGACAGCTTTCCGAACGAGCGGTAGATTAAAAAAAACGTAATGACTATTCAAAAGTGCTTCAATGTAAGTTTATTTGAATAAATGATTTTCTATTCTATTCTATTCTATTCTATCTGTGTACTGTTTTGTAAAGAATTCATTATGTAATAATAGCTCAGGACATTTACACAGCGCCATCTAGTCGTAAGCTAAGTAGAGCTTGTGTTTTGAGTATCAGAAAACTGATACAAATATATATAATACTGAGAGAAATTGCTTTATGGTGTCCACTTTAATCTCTATTTTTGTATTTGTGCATTAACGTTTTAATAAATAAATAAATAAATAATAATAATAATACCTGGACAATGTACACATCGCTATCTAGTCCCAAAGTAAGCACAGAGTATTGTGGGTACTAAACAATTGATATAAGTACATAGATATTTTTTTTTTATAAATACGTACATAGTATATATATGAAACATATAGACCTGTTTGTATCGGTCTATATGTTTCATATATATACTATGTACGTATTTATAAAAAAAAAATATTATCATGAATACAAATGTTTGTAATAGAGTAATCGAATCGATCGGTAGATTAAAAAATTGATGAAACTTTACAGTAATATAGCTTATATCACAATAATACATAGGCTACATATTACAATGAAATTTTTCGCGGGTGAAACCGCGGGAACAGCTAGTATAAACTTAAATATATCAAAAGAATTTGCGGTGGCCGGTCGACATCAATCACCTAGGTGGTCAATTACAATAACTTATTCTAATTACTTATTATATATATATACTAATTACTTATTCTTCAGAAAAAATAAACTTCTCATCTGTTGTTTTCTTTAGGTATATAAAAAGTAATTACTTATTCTTCACAAAAACTAAACATCCCATGTCAACATGTGTGTACTTGCGTGTTTACTTTAGGTATATAAAAAGTGAGATAACATCTGGGCACGTGTCTTGCCACGTGTTGGCGGCACCGGGCCGTATATCCGGTCAGGCGGTCCGGTTATACAGAGCGTATCGGGTGTTGAGTAGAGGCTTATGTTCGCTCAATTAATTAATAGTACAAGACAAGTGATAGACATGATAGTCATACTTAAATATATATTTTTATATATAGGTATATGTAATATAAATATAAATGAATTGCTGTTTGTTAGTCTCGCTAAAACTCGAGAACAGCTAAACCGATTTCACTAATTTTAGTCTTAAAATATTAGTAGAAGTCCAGGGAAGGTTTAAATGGTGATAAAATATGTAGAAATTGCATGTAAAATGGTAAAATCAACAATTTAGTGTTCCCATACAACCTGATGATACCTGTCAAAAAGGGTGCGTTCAGAAATTTATTGCGTAACTAAACTTCAAGAAACCTTTTTTTTATAACACAAGGGACAAACGAGCATGCGGCTCACCTGATGGTATTTGATTACCGCCGCCCATGAGCACCCGCAAGACCAGAGGAATTGCAAGTACGTTGTCGGCCTTTTAAAAAGGAATAAGCTCTTTTCTTGAAGGTTTCAATATCGTATCGGTTCGGAAATACCATTGCTGGAAGGTGATTCCACAATGTGGTTGTGCGACGCAAAAAGCTTCTAGAAAACCGTACTGTGGAAGACCGCCATTCATCCAGATGATCAGGATGGTATTTCAGAAAAAAACCTTTGACATATTTAATTTTGAGGCGAAACGGAGTACGCGGGGTCAGCTGATATACATTAAATGTTAACTGTGTAAATACGCCAAGCACTGTAGGAAATGAGATGGCTACAAGGGCGCTTTTTTACATTTTGGAGTCGAGTATCTCCTTTTACTCTAAACATGTAAAGTTCTTTATGAATTTCGTCGTTGGTGATGAGCCAAGGGATACTGTGCTCAATCTAATATTTGAGCCCTTGGATAATGTTACCCACAGCTGTAAGCATATACTATTATTCTTTTATTGTGGGTTTTGGGCTATTGTCAAATGTTAAGACCTATTGTGACCTACATAGACCTATTGTGCTTGCTTTTATATTTTGGAGTTGAGTATCTTCTCTTTTACTCTAAACATGTAAAGTTCTTTATGAATTTCGTCGTTGGTGATGAGCCAAGGGATACTGTGCTCAATCTAATATTTGTGCCCTTGGATAATGTTACCCACAGTTGTAAGTGTTAGATGTGGCAATGTTACACATTGATATATTGTATAGTTGGTCAGCTTGTGTTCCATTATTGTTATGTTGGCAGCGTTCATTCATTCACTGTTCATTCAATGTTCATTCAATTCGCTCTCTCTCTGATTTTGTACGGATGTTAGTTACTAAAATATTACTTACTTGTTTTATTAATTAAATAAAAGTTCTATCATAATTACTGCGTTTAAATATAAACATCAGGTTATGGGCCCAGACACATAACCCTGCTTGTTATTGTAGTAAATAACGCGAACACAAAAGTTAATAATCGACGGGAAGAAAAGTGAGGTTATCCGGCTATCACACGTGGCTAATATCGTCGAGAAGGTATACTTGTACGTCGCACGCAAGTAAGGTCGGAAAGGATGGATAATAATATCATAAATAAGACCGTAGTTAAGTTGGAAGGTGCTAGAAATTGGAACACGTGGAAATTCCAAACCATGGTACTGATGCGTGGCTATGGTTGACTGGACATAATAGAAGGAAGGAGTATAAAGCCTAAAACTGGTGATGAACTAACAGCTTGGGAGGTGAAGGACGCTAAAGCACAGACTCTGATAGTCACGAGGTTATCCGAGGATTCCATATTACATGTACTTACATGTACCAGCTCCTATGAAATGTGGAGGAAACTTCAAAGTGTTTATGAACAGAAAACAGCAACTAGTGTTCATATAGTACAACAGAGATTCTTTCAATATAAATATGAAACGGGGTCAGATATGTCAATTTTTCTATCTAAAATTCAAGAAATGCAAAACACGTTAAAACAGTTGGGAGAAAATGTTTCTGATAAATTAGTCATTACTAAAATATTGATGACATTGCCAGATGAATACAAGCATTTTGTATCTGCTTGGGAGTCGGCTCCGGACGATAAACAGACTATTGATAACTTGGTGGCAAGGTTATTGATCGAAGAAGAAAGAATCAAAGAAAAGAGTGAATCACAGCAAACAGCATCATCATCTGCTTTTGTTGTAAAGAATAAAAGACTTGTGAAGTGTTTCAAATGTGGCAAAAATGGGCATTTTCAAACGGAGTGCAGAAGCTACAAAAATAATGGTGAATCAAACATGACCAGTAATCAAAATAACAATAACTGTTTTTATTG